CCGAGGCGCCGCCAGGGGGGCCCAGCGCGGATCCAGGAAACCCGCGCGGAGCGCCACAGATTTATGCTCGTGCTGTTTCTCGCCCTTCGATTGCTGGCGTCGCCCCCACGGCGACCTCGGCACAGAGCCCGCCAGCAGCAGCCGCAGCAGGCGGCCGGCCCGGCCGCGCCACATACGGGCGGCCCGGCAGCAGGCCAGCCGACCGCGGCCGCCGCGGCGCGGCGGCGGGGACCGCCGAGGCGGCGGGGCCCGCCGAAGCGGCACGGGGGCCGCACGCGCGGCGGGCTCGAGCCAAAACGGCTGCGGACCCCGAGATCTGGGCTTTGCACGCTTTCACTACACAGAAGAAGAAGACGAAGAAGAAGAAGAAGAAGAAGAAGAAGAAGATACAAGACAAACACGGGTGAAGGGTGCGCCGGAATGGAGGTGGAACTGCATGCGGGCCCTGCCTCTGGGAGCTTTGGCGGAGCACCCGGCGTGGCCACGAAACGTGTGAGGTGTGCGCCGAAATGGGCGTGCGAGAGCGCAGAGGCAGGGAGGCAGAGGCAAGGAGGGGAAGAGGGAGGGGAGCGCGTGAGATGAGGTGAGGTGAGACGCGGGGCGCTGTCTCCTCAAAACGAGGACCCGATACCACAGGATGGTTGAGAACAAACTGAACTTTTGGCGCTCCGCGCGGATCTCTTGGATCCGCGCTGGGTCCACCCCCCGGCGGCGCCTCGGACCCTCGGGCCGCTGAAATGAGAAACGAAGCCTCTTTTCGGCCCCAAGAGCGCCAGCGTGCACGAGGAAGGCGAAGAGGAACAGCCACATAGCGACCTAAGGATCAGCGAGCCCCTTGCGTGCCCAAACTGCTCCTTCCTTCAACGCCATGACTGCACGGGCGAGTTTGCCCAGTCTCGGGCCCGGCGCCCCTCGAGCTCACGGAGCGATGCGGCCCGGAAGGTGCCGCGCCGAGAGGAGGTCCAGGGTTCTGGTCGGGCTTGGGCCGTCGCCGCCGCCGCCACCGCACGCCGCCGCCGCCGCCGCCGCCGCCGCCGCCGCCGCCGCCGCCGCCGCCGTCGTCGTCGTCGTCGTCGTCGTCGTCGTCGTCGTCGTCGTCGTCGTCGTCGTCGACGTCGTCGTGGTGGTCGTGGTGGTCGTGGTGGTCGGAGCTCGGGATGTGGCCACTTCTTCGCGGGGTCGGAGCTCCGGGGACGGCCCGCTGGCCACCTCCCGTGGGCCGCGGCCGCTCCCGGGAGCCGCCCGGGGGATATGCCGGGGAGCCCTCCCGAGGGCGCGGCCTCCGTGCCCTGGCAGCACGGGCCCGGCCGCTCCCCCCGGAGAGCACGCTGCTGCTGCCCAGAAGGGCGGGGCAGCTTCCGGAGGATGCCGAACGTAGCTGCCCCGACACGCAGCACGCAGCACGTAGCGTACTGCTGCGGAGCTCGACACGCAGACTGAGCACGCACGCTTCGAGCACGGGGCGCTCTGAACGCGGCACGTGCTACGTTTCAAAAACGTGCGCAGCAGAGCTGCTAAGCTGGCTGCCTCGGACGGAAGCGGGCGCCCATGGTCAAACCACACACCAGGGGCCGGCAGCTCTCTCGATGGAAGTGGCCCCGAGCTTCTGGACTGCTGCCCGCTGCTCCTCCCCTGGCCTTCACGCCCACGGGCCCCTGCGCGCCGCAGAAGAGCACCCGTATCGGACTCTCGTCAATGCCACTTGGCAGCGCACAGTTGGGGAAACCAGCGATACCACTACTCCCTGTACCTCTCCCGGGGTGCGTTCTGACCAGAATTTCGAGGCGAATCCAGCGGTGACGACGAGGGCCTCCCAGGAGGCCCAAAAAGGGGAAAACGAGGGAAGGGTAGCGGTATGGATACCTTTTCCTCCTCTGAAGAGTGGGGCGGGGCGGGGCGGGGGGGGGCGGCCTTCTAAGACGGCGGTGGGGCTTCTCAGAAGGCCCATGGCTTCTTGTAGGGAACCGAACTCTATACACCCACGCTTTTTCGGGCCCTCCACTGAAACTCACACAGGAAAACGGATTATGGTGTATACGGCATCCTGGTGTATCAATGTTTCGTTGCTTCCACGGGAAAGCGGGGAAGTATACACCACCCCACCCCGACGTCGTCCCCGACCCTACAAAAATCCGGGGATAGAAAAACAGTCCGCCACTGGTAATGTATATGCTCCAGGTTCCGATCTTGAAAGGCTTCTCAGAAGCCAGGCAGCTAGGCGGGCTTCCACTATGGCCCAGGCCCCCGTCGCGCTAGCCCCCCTGTGCGCACCGCCCGGGCCATGCCAGAGCCCCTCTGGCCAACATCCCGAGCCCCAGCAGGTCACGGCAACGACGACGTCGCCCTGGCGGCACAACCAGGGCCCAGGAGGAGGAGGAGGATGAGGAGGAGGAGGAGGAGGAGAAGGAGGAGGAGCCTGTTGAGGAGGAGGAGGAGGAGGAGGAGGAGGAGGAGCAGCAGGAGGAGGAGGAGGAGGCGGACGAGCCTGTTGAGGAGGAGGAGGACCGACGTCTACCACGAGACCAAAGGTCCGCTGGCCCTGAAGCCCCCCCCTCCCGACGACGATGCCGCCCTGGCGCCCTGGACACGCAAGCGAGCAAACTCAAGGACCAGCGCGCACAGCGCCCACCCCACCCCCCTGCACCCGCCTCCATCGGGTCCACCAAGTGCTCGTCGTAACCTTCGTGGCCCTGGGTGGCGACCTTAGTCTCTGGCCGACCGCTCTTCTGAGGAGCACAAGCATCGTGCTTGGAGGAAGGGGTTGGGAGGATGAAGGGCATGAGCAACAGCATCCAGATTCAATCCACGATACCTTCGACCGCCTGCAGGTGATGATGTCTTCGCATGTCTCCCAACCTCATCCTCCCAGCCCGATGAGTGTCTCTGAAGGGGCCCCAGGACACGCAAATAAATACACACAAATGAAAATATTGCCCATATTTTCCCATATATTCTGGGTTTCTGTCTTCCCCCCACTTCCCATATTTTCCCATATTTTCCTGGGAATCGACGATTAATTGTGTCTGTGTGTTTTTTCCTCTCCTGAGTCTCCCTGAACTTCGAGCCTGGCCTCGGCCCCAGACAAAGTGGCCTCCCGTCCAGATCGCAGGCTGGTCACGCGCGTCGGGCTGGGCAGGACCACTCGCCTGGCAGACCAGATTAGAGGGCTGGAGATCCACCCCGATAATAAGCACCCCGACAACGCAACCGTTTGCTAAACGCACCCGACGAAGGAATCGAACAACAAAGCGCTGTTTAGTAAACGCACGGGGCCGTTGAGTAAACGCCGATTATGGGGGTCGGGGTGGATTTGTCCTCGTTGACAGATCTCAAGATCGGCAGGGAGCTGACCGCGCGGATCCAGTTCTGGAACGGGGCCCAGCCACACCCCGCAGGACGACGTACCCCCAGTGAGCTGTCGCCGCGGCAACGGTTCCCGCCACGGTGTGCTCCAGAGCCCAGCCCATGGGCGTCCCGAGGTGGGCCCTGAGGCCCCCTTCGATGATCCTCAGAAGCGTGGGCTGGCGCCAGCATGCGCTGATCCGCCGAAATCCCTCGGTACGACGCAGGCGGCGTGACAGGGGCCGACACAGGCTGCATGGAGCCAAATGGGGCAAAATGCACACACTGGGCCAACACACGCCCTGAGGATCATCGACCCCTCTTCAGGGTACAAGGCGGGCGCGGCCGCACGAAACCCTCGCAAGACCCAACCCTGAATACCCGCGCGCGAGGTGGACTCCGAGGGGAAAGCCGGAGCACCCGGAACGCAGCAGCTTCTCCAGCGGCTGCGGGCAGCCACGGCGCGGCGCGCGGAGCGACGACGCCCAGGATGCCCCGACGAAAAGCATGTGGCGCCCGACGATGCGCGCCCCCACTGCACGTGCGTTCTGGGGCGCCCCTAGCCTCCCCTGGCCACTGACGCCCTGGAGGGCCCGCGAGCAGCAGCTCGGCGCTGTCGGGGGCCGGGGCCCGGGGGGTGCCGGGAGGAGGAAAGAGGAGGAGGAGGAGGACGAGGAGTAGAAGGACGAGGAGGGAGGAGGAGGAGGAGGAGGAGGAGGAGGAGGAGGAGGAGGAGGAGGAGAAAGAGAAAGAGGAGGAGGAGGAGGAGGAGGAGGAGGAGGAGGAGGAGAGGGAGGGAGGGGTCAAAAGAGGCGGAGGAGGATGGGGAACACGCCCACTGCGCTGTGCTCCTGGGTGCTGCACGGGAGCGCGCCTCCGTCGGCCCTCCCCGCGGCCGCGCGCAGGAGTGGCCCTGGGCAGGTCGAACGGGCCGCGGGGGGGGGGGGGGATAAGCTCCCAGCGCGCAAGCCACCGCCGAGGGGGGCCCCTGTGTGGGCCCGCACCGAAGCTCTAGGTCGGGCATGTCTTCCTACAGGCAGATTTTAGAAGACCGATTTTTCTTCAAACGACAAAAAAACAAGCAAGCGTACTCAAAAATATCCAAAACTGGTCGAAACATCATCCCCAGACTATCTGTTTTACCATTTCTGAATATCCCTCCTGTACAGAGACATGCCCGACTTGATCGAAGCTCCCTCCAGCGAAGGATCAGGCCTGCGTGCCGACACACCTCTTGGAACACACACGTCCGCCGCACTATTGCAGTGGGCATGGCGCCAGACCCCCTGGGGCGGCGCTACCCCGCCCCCTCCTCGCGCCGAGGACAAACCATCGCGAAACGGGTTGCTTTTCTGGACCCTTCTCCTCCGCGGGGCCTGACTGGAGACCGGGGCCGTCAAACAATGGCGCGGGATGAAAGACTGGTCCCCAGGATGGAGGAAGGGGTTGGGAGGAAGGGGGAGGAGGAGGAGGAGGAGGAGGAGGAGGAGGAGGAGGAGGAGGAGGAGGAAGGGGGAGGAGGAGGAGGAGGAGGAGGAGGAGGAGGAGGAGGAGGAGGAGGAGATCTCTGGAGGTCGACGCTGTGACAGACGTCACGGCCCCGAGGTTCCTGCACGCCGGGCAGGGTCCAGTGCTGGGCCCTGGACTGGTGAGCGGACGCTCCTTGCCAAGGCTGGGAACGTGCACCGTCCTAACTCCTACACCGAGTTTCTTAGTAAGCGTCCGGGGGGGGGGGGGGGGCCGACACCCCCCCCGACAGCCCAACATCGACCCCCGTCGCGGGCAGCCACCGCTCGCCGAAGGCGCTCCGACCCCCGTCGCGGCGCGACGACGAGGCGAAGTTGACCCCCGTCGGGGAGGTGCCCCCCCCACGCTTTTTAAGAAACCCAAAGTCTTCCTTTTTATCTTCTCACTGAGACGTTCTCATTCCCTGAGATCCACTGATCT